TCTTACTGAACTACGCCTATATTGCGTACAGCGTCCATAAACTATGGCGCACCCCCCCCCCCCCCAAAATCAAGTTGAACCGCCCCAGCCCCAGTGAAAACCAGAGGTTTATGTGAAATTGCACTTTTTTTTTAAATAATGGTTTTAGTGTGCAATTATAAGTTTTAATTTTGTATTTGTGTTAATTTAAAATAAATCAAACTCCCAAAAAACGTATATAGCTTCTGTGTGCTTTTATTAACATTGGAATTTACTGTGTACGCGGCCGCGGGGGGGAGAGCTTTAGAGAGCTCTCTCCTGAGAGACTGAGCGGCTCTGATAACCTCAGCTCAGTGAGGTAAAGGCACACCTTTATATGATCATTATAGTTATTAAAAATAAGTTTATAGTATAAAATACTATATGACAGTAAAAAAAAGTTGTTATTAATAAACAAGAATACAGTTTAAAAGGGGAGTGATTTGTAAAATATCCATAAATAAAAAGAAAATCTGCTTACAGTTCTGTTCATATGGGTGTTGAGAGATGTATCCATAGATCTCTTAATGTTGCTCTCAAAGTGCACCAGATTGATCCTTTTAACTTCAATATAAAAAAAGGTTAGGTCCCCCCCCCCCCACTTAAATCATGTTCAAATAGATAGAATACTAAATACATTTGCACACATCTTGTGTCCATATCTTTCTGTTTTGGTGGTCATGCCACAACCGTGCTTGCATGCGCGAGTCATAGTGAGTGTCTGCATTTTGTGGTGGGGGGGCTCCTGCTAAAATCTTGTCTAGGGCAGCAAATTGGTCAGGGCCGGCCCTGATGAGACTAAACAAAGACGTTTCCTGTCTGACATGCTGACTCTGAAGATTTTGTTGCAAGATTTCATGACGATTCCTGCCACAAATGTATATGAGGTTGACTTTAATACTAACTCTCAGATCTTCAGTGTGTAAACCTCTTTTACATGTATTCTAACTCACAGGAAACAGCTATTATTGTAACAGGGCCGAGGCATAGACATGCACGCTGCCTCGTCCAAACAAAACCTCATCTACAATTCGAACATTTTGTCCTGATCCAGCTGAGAGAGGATGGAAAACTTCCTCCTAGAGCTCAGTCTGACAGAGCTGCAGACACAAATCCCTGCCTGATGTGAGCTGACGGCAGGAGGTTTGAGGGTAGGCCTACGTGCAGCACTCAGGGGCACCGTTTGCCGACAGGCAACTGCTTGGGGCCCCGGACCAGAAGGGGGCCCCCAAAGAAGGTAGATTAAGAAGGTCCACAGCAACTTGAAACACCCAGTTTCACAGACATCTCGGGGGAGGGGGGGGATGGGCGGGAGCTCAAGTGAGAAAAAGGGCACTTCCCATAATCATTTGTAAAAAAACGTTTTAAAACAAAAAGTTAAATAGGCTAGTTGCACATCTCTGACTTACTGACCAATTTATTTGAATACCCTCACACTCATGCAAGTGTTTAATACTCAACAGAATTCTACAAAATAGTCAGTTAACACAGAAAATGGTCTTCTATAGTATTCACTAAGCACAAGAGCAGACAACAAACTAGTCAAATTAATAGTTATTAAATGAGCAGCCAACAATCAAAATGATGAAGTTACTGTTTAAGGACATTACAGGCTAAAAGATAGTTTTTTCACGTAGGCCTACTTGTACATTTTGGTTCCATGTTTTCTTTCACTCTAATGGAAAGACAACTTCCAAAAAACATAATATAAATGGTGTTCGTTTTACTACCATGTCTGAATTCATCTATAGATTTAAAGCTAATCTGCATATTTAAACATAACATTTAAGGGGAAAATACTGACTTGACGTAAGTAACTATCTGGGGAAGTTATGAGGTGATATGCTTTTTTGTTTGATCCTTTTCACCTGCAATGCCGTCACTGCATGCAAATGAGCGCATTTTAATTAGTCCTAACGCCTAATTTGCATATCAATGTGGCGATTGTGATGACGTTATTAGATACACATTTTACTGTATTCACCTTTAGTGTCCGTCTCCCCTTAAGTAGGCCTACAGTACATTAACCTGTATGCCCATGATAAATTGCCTTAGCTAAACCTTGAGCTAACTTATCCATTAGCTATAGTAGGCCTACTTAGCCTACCTTTAGTTAACTATATTTGTTTTTGTCTTATGGCTAATTAGCTGTAAACTCGAGGCACTGGCAGCTCAATCATGTCATCACCACTCACCTTCAAACAAGCCAAGAAAAGCCGGCATAACATGGGACTTAAAAGGTGGGAGGTGCTGCTACCTGTCTGTCTGAAGTGACTGCCGATGTCCGCATTGCTGTGCACGTAACGTGGAGGGAGGGAGGGAGGGTAGAGAGAGCATCGGAACTTCACAGTCTAATCTCCCGACCTAATGTTTTATTTTGTATTCAATCAATATATTTTTGGAAAGGGAAACTGTGCACAAACAGCAGTAGATATATATTCATTTATTTATTTATTTTAAAAAGGGGGGGAAAAGGGCACTTTCTCTGGAGGAAGAAAAAGGGCAGGGGCTCAAGCCCACTTTGATATCTGTCTGATGTGTGCACGTGCCTGCCCCAGAGTGTCATGGGGCGCCACTGGCCTACGTGCACTGCAGCACAGACCACAGAACAACCAATAATTATGTAAAAGCAGTGTCCCAACTAGGCTATATTAGGAATACAAACATATAGAATCAGGTATCCTAGTTCGTGTGTCAATGTTTGTTTAAGGTTGATCATACTGTAGCTACTTTGTAACTGTGCTAAATGTCACGTCAACCGTTCCTCCTTGTTCGGTTTCATTTTAAATCATCTGGGGTTTTCCTTTTCACAAATTACTCAAAATAACCTGCAAAAACCTGCTCTTGGCGGAAAAAATGTTATGTGCTAAATCAGAGGATTAATAATGATTGAAGAGTTCAAGGGTTACTGTGGGTTTTAAATGATAGTTTATATTATCTTTTGGCTTTAAAACCAAAACAGCTGTTACTCAGTGACTAAAGTCAAACTTAGACCACATTTGTTTTCATTTAGCATTCATGGGCCGCGTGGCTGTTGGGATGACAATGTTGGTCAGTCCACCATTGTGGTCTAAATTTAAATATCTCAACAATTATTTGATGTATCGTCATGATATTTGATTCAAACATTCATGTCATACAGGAAAAGAAATCCTATCCACATTGATGATCCTCTGACTTTTCACCTAGCTAGTGCCAAAATGAAGTTCACATTTTTGGTTTTGAAGGACATATCTAATGGATGGTCATGGGATTCAGGGCACACTTAAAGATGATGAATTGCAAAAGCTTTTTTAATAAGCTTGCTGTTTTCTCTTGTGACACCATCAGGTCCACATTTACATTACTCCAACACTTTGATTTAGAAGAAAATATACGTTAAACTGATTTTTTTCCCCATTAGCTTCAGATGAACTTTGTGTTGAGTGCTAATTAGCTAATGTTAGAATGCTAACATGCTAAACGCAGGTAGGAAACATGGTAAGATTACACTTGCTAAACATAATGTTAGTATGTTGTCCACAGAGCGGCTACCATGGCTTTAAAATCGTAGACATCTGACCATATTTACATGTAAATAAATTCTTCCTGATGACACTTTTCTTTTTAAAACAAGCTAAGGGCTGTTCAATGGAAATGTTCAATGTCATTTATTTGACAATATTGTCTTCTTTTCGCTTGTATAATGAGTGAAGAAGTACAAAATAGCCTGTCAAAAATTCCCTAAAGCCCAGGATGAGAAGGGTGTTTAAGTTGTTTGTTTTGTTGAACAACAACCCTTAACTCAAGTGAATTCAAGACAAAGAAAAGCAGCACATTATCACAATTTAGGAGGTGGAAATAGTCCATTTCTGGCATTTTTGGTTTAAAGTTATAGATTAATCAAATATTTATGAGTGCAGACTAACTTTAAGAGTTGAGGGGGAAGTTCCCTTTTATCTAATCAACACATCGTGTCATTTATTTCCTTCTTTGGGTAAAATATCTCTTTAAAAATACTCTTCTCACAAATGTGACAACCCACGTACTGAATGTTTGTGTTTCAGAGTTCGGCTTCTCATCTGTACCTCATCAGTACACCACGTGCACTGTGTGTGGGTTTGTGTGTGTGTGTGTGTGTATTGCTGTCGGGACTGAGTGAATAGGAAGGCCGGAGGGTTGAACTTTCCCCTACTTCTCACACTGACTCCATCTTTGAGTGCTCTCCGGCATTCCTGATTCATGCGGAGGACTCAGTGGCTCGCCCATTTACATTTTAACAATATGAAATACGTTAGATATTTAAAGCTTTAAACAATATGTAAGTATCAGTCATTATATCTTGTTGTTTACCATTCTAAAAAACTGCAATTTGAATTTATTTTTGTATAATTTACACAAAATACAAAAAAAAGTATTCACAAGTGTTGGCATTAGGCTATTTTTTTTTTTTAAATAACAGTTTAATCTGTATTGACGTATGGAAAACAGTTTAGATAGATAGTATTTAATTATTATCAGTGTGTTGGGGATGTAAATGTGCATTATTTAGCGATTGAAAAACGCATGCTTAAGTTAGATGTATACTACATTATAGGTTGTATTAATACAAACAGAATATTAAGATGTTTCTTTAAAGCATTTTTTAAGGCATTTTAATCGATGTTTGACTTGTTGCTCAGACAATTCAAGAAATGTAATGTTTTAAAGGTTGGCTCTAGAATATTGATATTTAAATGTAATTTTACCTTATTTGACCCACAAACTTTAGGTAGAAAGACTTGCTATGAGCATTGATAAGTGAGAAGAATTCAAGTTTTTATTTCTGTTTCAGTAAGTCTTTACCAGTAATTAAGACCTCCCATTGCATCATGATCAAGTCCTTATGAGGGTGACTACTTTGAAGGAAATTCCACGCCCCAGGCCTCCCCCGATTCCCTCCTCCTTGCTCCGACAGCCAATCAGAGGAGCCCTCTGTTGCAGCCCTGAGCTATAAAAACCCCACAATGCTCTTCAGCAGCACACGACAGAGACAGAGACACATTTCAGAACCAGCTTTCATACTGAAAGAGAATCTCAGCAGACACTAAGATGAATATGCCACTACTGCTCATCCTCTTGCTGTTCATTTTAGTGCAAGCAGGAGATGCTTTCCCTACAGACAGAAGAGCTGGGGATAAACAAGCATCCTGGGACGACATGAACGTGGTGGCTCACGGCCTCCTACAGCTAGGCCAGGGTCTGAAGGAGCACGTGGACAAGACCAAAGCCCAGATGAGGGACATCAACACCAAACTGAAGACCTTCAACGCTACTGTAGCCGAACTGCAGAGGAGGCAGCAGGAGCAAGAAGAAGCTCTGAAAGCAAGAAGCATAACGGAGGAGGAGAGGCTGGAGGCAGAGCTGTCACAGGAAGTGAGGACACAGAACGAGGACATCCACACCAGGATGGACAGACTGGAACAGAAAGTGGATGAGGTGCTCAAAGACCCGACACTGGACAGCAACAACCACACAGAGGTCTCATTCATCCAGGTGAGAGACGCATACTGTGCTCATGTTGTTAATGTGTAACTGTGAAAGAGTTTCTTATCTAAATACCCCGGCATAAAGAAAGGCATTATATATTGTAATAAAAGCTGTAATCCTGCAAAACGCTATGATGCTCTGTAGCTGACGAGACATTTTATTTTTCTAGAGACTGGTGGCGGCTCAGAACAGACGCATTGACCAGCTGGTGGAGAAAATCCAGCAGCAGCAAGAAAGACAGGAGAAGCAGAGCCTGCACCTGCAAACACTGCAGAGCAAGGTGAGATACACCACTTAACAATATACAGCACGTATGATTTAGGAGGTGAGAGAACAACACTGTCAACATAACATGTCAGCTGCAGGATTACATTAGTGTTAACAACATCAATGTAAGTGATACGTTATAGTTTATTGACCCTGCTGTGATCCACCAGGTTGCACATAAGAGAGTGAAGTCCCACCGACGGAGAGATGAAGAGATGGCGCTGAGAGGAGAGCCAGCAGAGCTGAGAACAGACGCATCAGGTAAGAATCAAACTGTCGATCTGAGGGGAAGAAATGAAGCCAAAATGAGTGATGACTTTGACCTGTAGACGGTGTGAGAGGCTTGACCTTTGAGTGCTGAAAACAAAGGACAGTTAAGGAACCATGGTTCCTTAACTTCATATGTTCTTCTTTTCTGGGCATTCCTTATCAAGTACGAAAGGTATACAATCCCGATTTGAGGAGACACATACGTCGACAGAAAACGTTGTTAACATCATTGATTTTGCAACAATAGAGACTTTACAGGATGGGCAGCTCTGTGTGCACAGACACCAGAACTATTCATTTATCCTAAAGTTACATAAGAGCTAAAACCTTTGAACCTTAATTTATAATACCTGACTTGCTGGCAGAGCGGCTCACCTAGAGTCCAAAGATCAGGAGAACATGAGGACAGTGGTTTTTAAAACACACCTACTGTACTGCATGCTCATGGGACATGCAAAGAGCGAAGTGCAAAGACACAGCAAGCATGTGACAGAAAACCAAAGACTCATCAATGCTTACCGATGTACTGAATGAATTCCCCAAATTAAAGCTGGTGCTTCAGTCTGAACAAATGACCTAATCTGAGTTTTTCTGTGTTCTGGTTTTATCAGGTCTGGCCAGAGATTGTCATGATCTGTTTGTACGAGGGCAGCGAGCCAGTGGCGTCTACACCATCCAACCAGAGAGCTCCCAACCCTTCAGCGTGCTCTGTGAAATTACTTCAGGTGAGTCAAACAGGAACTTCCCCTAAAGGTCCTCCAGTGTAGATTATACAGAACAACAACACATTCCTGAGGGAAGCAACTTTTGTACTTACAAACCACACCTGTCTCAACGGCTTCAACCACAAAGAAGAGTTTCTCTTAGCTTAATTTTTCCTCTCTCTTTGCAGAAGGTGGATGGACTGTCATCCAGAAACGTCACGATGGATCCCAGAGCTTCAACCAGCTGTGGGAAAGCTATAAGACAGGCTTCGGCAGCTTGAATGGTGAGAAACTTGTCTCATAAAAGTTATTCAAACATCTGCATGATTAAACCTCAGTGGTGAATATTAATCTTAATATTTCTCGTCCCTCCAGGTGAGTTTTGGTTGGGCTTGGAGAACATCCACTCTCTCTCTCGACAAGGCCCGTACATCCTGCAGGTGGAGCTCTCTGATTGGGCGGGAGAACAGCAGCACAACGCTCAATATCAGATCAAACTGGACGGAGAAGAGAAGAAGTTCGCTCTCCACCTGGAGTCATTGTCCGGGCTTCAAGAGAAAATAATGACGACTGGAAAATCTGGTCTTCCTTTCTCCACGGCCGACAGAGACAACGACCTCTCCGCTGAGGCCAACTGTGCTGAGCTGCTTTCAGGTAAGAAAGTTCTACAAATCAAAACTGTGCGAGTGGCTTAATACGAGGAAAAATGAAAAGTTGTAATAATAATGCTCTTTTGTTTCAGGTGGGTGGTGGTTCAGTAGCTGCGGTGAGTCAAACCTGAATGGGAGATATGCGAGACGGCTGAGACATCATCAGTCCAGAAGACAGGGGATGTTTTGGACGTCCACAAAGGGACAAAACTACTCTGTGAAGACGACTGTTTTGAAGATGGCCCCCGCCACGTTACGTAATTAGGCAGATCAGTCTCAATGAAAGAGCAAAGGACCAAAGAAAACTGTATTTAACTCCAATGATCCATCATGCACAGGATCATCACATATTTCTATGCTATGCCATACCGTCACTTGTTGTCATATTGACCGTTTTTTTACTCCCTTTATAAGGGCTCCATAATCTTATGTTGTCTTTGACTTACTGTATGTGTTTTTATAAACGTCTATTTGGTAATAAACCCTGTAATGTTTTTTACATTTATACACATTTTATATTTCATTTATAAAAATAAAGTTTTAAAAAAGGTTTGATAAATTCTGACTCTTCGCTCATGCTTGAAGGCGAAAGGACACACACACACACACACACACACACACACACACACACACACACACACACACACACACACACACACACACACACACACCACACACACACACACACACACACACACACACACACACACACACACACACACACACACACACACACACACACACACACACACACACACACACACACACACACACACACACACACACACACACACACATACACACACACACACACACACACACACACACACACACACACACACACACACACACACACACACACACACACACACACACACACACACACACACACACACACACACACACACACACACACACACACACACACACACACACACACACAGTAAATCATTTGATAATACATTCATATATGTGGGGACATTTTATAATTCATTTTTGAATGAATGGACCTCAGGGTTATTCATCACATTATTGGGCCAATAGTTTGTTGAACATTTTATAGGATTAAAAGGTTTAATCAGGATTAGTTTGAAACAGCTACTCCCTGCTGGGGAAATCATAATAAATGTCAATGTTGTGCTCAATGAACAAACAGTACATTTACAGGAGAATGTCTTTTAGTCGTCAGGGTCAATGTAAATGGATAAATATAAAATCTCTCTAAAGAAAAATGGTTTAAAGGGGACCTATCATGCAAAATGCACTTTTGTACGTCTTGTATACATGAATATGTCTCCCCGGTGTTTCAGGGAACTCACCAAGTGTCAGAAAACACAACCCTCTCTCTTTTCCTCCATACCCAAATCTCTAAAAACGGGGCTGCAACGGAGCTGATTATTATTTGAATTTTTCTGACATCAGAAAAGGGGTGCTCCGCCTATATGGGCAACTCTCCACCTATCAGGGGAATGACAGACCGCTCGAAAGCGCTGTAGTACATATGGCAGGCCTGTAAGTGGCGCTGTAGTCTGCCACAAAAGCAGAATCAGCCCTTGCAAAAACAGGGCTGGAAAAGAGCAAATAGAGCGAAATGAGGCATGGCTAAAATGCAGGATCTGTTTGGTATTTTGAAAAAAAAACTTCACAGACATAGGTATGGCCCTACAATATATGTTTCAAATATAGCATGATAGGTCCACTTTAAGATGAATTCCTTAACAGGTTTTCTCTTTGGTGAAAATGTGAAATGTTCTGTTTTCCTGCACATTGATTACTTTGACTTGTCATACTTTAAGTACATTTTGCTGATAATACTTTTGTACTTTTACTTAAGTAAGATTTTGAATGCAGGACTTCTACTTGTAATTAAATATGTTGACAATAATGTATTGGAAGTTTAACTTAAAGTAAAGCATCTGATTTCTTCTACTCTTTTTTTTGCCTTTCTTTAAAAAGAAACTTAGGGGAAGTTCAATTCTGTTCAACCTTTTCCTTAAATGTAATTTATTTCAGAAACACTTTTTGCTATATTCCATGGAATGCTCTTAACATCCCGATAGCAATGAACATATTAAATGCTTTGCCAATAAATCTGTGGAAGCCTTAGTACTGTAAAAAGCACGACGAATCATCTGAGTCGGCCCGGCTAAAATAACTGGATGGCCTACCTGCCTGTCAGCCTTCCATCTGTGCACAAACGTATCTCGTGCCCTCATTGGTCATGTGCGCGTTCGTGTGTGTTGGAGGAGGGGCTCTGTAAGGAAGGGGCAGATTTTTTCCGGTTGTGTATTTTCAAATTCTAGCGCACTCGAGCTGATTTCTCCGAAATTACCTACCCCACCTTTAACACAAAAAGCCCAATACTGTTTAAGAAATGGTCCGGTGGGGATTATAAAGACTTTGTACCCATTTTTTGTGTTATTTGACAAAATAATTACATCTAAAAATGTTTCTAAAAGATTACATTTAAAGAGATGACAAAACGTAGAAAAATATTGTTCACTTCTGTTTATTTCTTCCATATCTGAGAGTACATTTAACCATGATGAGTTCATGGCAGCTCATCTTGCAGATGGTCATCAGACACACACGTAAAAAGGCATTTTATTCTCGTAGGTCCTCAGACAGATTCCCTGATATATACTTTACGAGCAAGGCACCTCATACTGCCAACAGCTGTGTCATACATCATCTTATAGGTCAGTTTGTTGGCACCAAGGCAAATATACGTAATATGTGCAAAAGTCCTCAGCAGCAGAAGAAGAAGAAAGAGAAGCTCCCCGGAAAATAAAGCAAGCGAGTGAGTGAAACAGCAACATGTCGCTACATATTTCAATTGTTTATGATTGCATAAAATATTTTTTTTTACAACACAATAAAATCGTGGCCTGTGATTATTTATTTTTTTTATGTGGAAAAGTGTGGCACAGCACATAAAAAGTATTTGATGGCACATGAGGGCACAGAGTACACTAGGGGATTTAAGAGCTTGCTTGTATGCTCTTTTAGAGCTTTACAATGACTAATTTACTCCAGTGTTTATTCTCAGACACAGAAAATGATAACTATATCAAATGGGTTCCAAGAAAGTTCAATAAAAAAAGGAATGGCACGAAAAAAAGAGAATACTGAGCCCAGCAGCCACTTCTGTACTTTTTGCATTGCTGATAAAGTTCTAGTAATGGAGCACCGAGCAGCATTTTGAACACAACTGTCCCACTGTGATGGTTTTTGTGTCACCGTCTGCCATCACATCAATCTCAGAAAGTTCCAGCCCTGTGTTTAGGGTGAACGGCGCCCTCTGCTTGTTACGGGGCCTCTAAGCATCCCAGCAGATTTCCCCTCACTGTAAATACAGTGTTAAGACTACAAGACCACTTTCTCTCAGAGATAGTCTCCTTTATGGTAATGATATTCAAATCTCGTATTCATTCAATGATGCTAAAAAACAAAGCACCTTTAAAACTGCCAAACAACTATTGAGCTGCTACGAGGCATAGCTTGCATTCAGCAAATCATAAAACCAAGTGAAAGGAGATGCAGGTTTAAATAAATGAAGGAAATGGAAAGAAGAGACAAGGAGAGGAGGTTAGGAAGCGAGGGAGGAAAGGTCAGTGTGTGGAAAGGCTTATCAGAGGTTCTGCTGGAGGAAGTGCAGCAGCGTAATCTCGTAATGTTCTCCAGACTCTGGACACCGGATGCTGTGTCGCTCGTTGGGATAAATCTGGGGAAACAAAAAACATGTTTAATCACCATGGGATCAGCTGAAGAGTCTTCACTTAAGTCAGTATGAATGTGTCAATGCGCTTACCTGCAGGCTGTATGGTTTTCCTGCGCGGATGAGTTGAGACACCAAGAAGTTGGTGTGGAAAAAGTGCACGTTCTCATCTAGAAACCCGTGCAGGATCAGCAATCTGTTGGGCCTGCGTTAACAGAGAGAAGGAGTTTTAGTTCCTCTGATCGTGTTGTTTACATGTAAACATGTAGGACTAAATGTAACACATTTTACAGCTGACACTGATCACTGCAGCTTAAAGGTACAAGTGAAATACAATCTTTGCTGTGATTTATGACAGAAGTTACAGCATAACAATGCAATCTAAAGTGGGTATTTGTCACAGATGATAGTGGACAGTAACTGAATAGTAATTGAAACTAAATGCCATGTTTTCAATAGACAGCTCTTACTCATTGGGGAGCTTGTCGACGTGCAGGGCGACGGAACAAGCCTCGTAACCCTTGGGGTTTTTCTCAGGCGTGTCCAGATACCGCTCGGTGTATCCGGTGTCGTACGCCATCCACAGTGTCACCGGAGCACCTGCGATGGCAACCTAAAAAAAACAATGAAAACAACACAAATACAGTGTCAAACAGAATACAGAAAGACAAGCTGAAAAATGGAAGTTGAAATGGTAAATTAAAGAAAAATAGGATTATTCAAACAACTGCAATTATTTCCGTTAATCTGGTCGCCCACTGGCACGTCAGTTAGCACACAGACAGAGTGAACAGTGGTGTTTCTGACCTTGAAAATGTCCGGTTTGTGGATGAGGCCCATGAGGGAGAGGAAGCCTCCGTACGACCAGCCGTGGATGGCAACACGACTCAGGTCCACAAACGCGTACTTCTCAGCCACATAGTGCAAGCCCTCCACCTGGTCTTCAATCTCCACCTGACCCTGATTGGAGGAGAACAGAGAGGTTACTCCCCCACAACAACTCACTTCCATTGGCAATCTAAATAATATACTACTTCTACTAAAGTTTGGATGCAGGAGGTAGTGGCTACTCAGTGTTTCTCATTTGAAGCTACAATTAGGTCTTAAAACATCAAAGTGGCTATTCCTCCGGACTGTGTTCACTAGGCGCATTCACACCGCAGTACTTTTCCTACAAAGGTTCATGAGAACTTAGTTCATGAGAACTCTTTAGTTCTCATGAACTAAGTACAGATCGCGTTCACACCGGAATAAGTCCCTGGGGGTGGATTAGGCAAATGAAGCCGCTGACATCACTTCTTCTTCTTCTGCTTTGGGTTTACTGGCAGGCCGCAAACCACTTCACTGCGTATACTGCCACCCGAAGTCTCCAGCCGGAAGTCCCCGGAGTTGGAGCCTTCCGAGTAAATCGCCAGAACGCCAACACCTCCTCATCTCCACCGCTCCCATGTTTTCTTTTGTGTTGCCATAAATTAGCCTCTCTGCGCTGGGCTAATGCTAATGCGAGGATAATGGCGGCTTCACAAAACTTTTCCGAGTTTTACGCAAGCCCCCAGGAAGTACGCCGGACTCAGATGAAAATATTCGTGCTGGCCAAAAGGCGGTACTACACTTCCGTTTGGTTGCCAGGCCCGGAAACACTTTTTCCCCATTAACTTACATTGGGAAAGAGTGGTCTGTAAATCATTGGATAATTTTTTTTAAACTAAATGAACTACCCAGTATGAACACTTGTATAGCCCTTATTAAAAATATTCGTTCCTCAAGTTGTAAAAATGTGCTAATAACGTTATTCAGAGAGTTATTTCCCTCTGCATTATGAACGCGCATCTAACCCACGGGACCGCACCGCCCGGCACGTTCATGTGATGTGACGTGTTCAGTACTACATGAGTTTTACCTTTACCCATGGATGCACAATAAGAACGGACCCATATCGCCTTACTGCCAGCCCACGGAGCTGTAATAATGGATATATTGCACATGTTTGCTATAATTCATCATTTGTAAAATATTATACTACATGGGCTGTATGATGTAAATCTTGTATTAAATAAAGTTAATATTACCGACGTAGATTAACGTCCCTGTAGCTTCTTATTGCACTTGCAATATACCATTAAAAGGAGTTGAACGTTGCCGTTTGCTATCACTATAATACCACGCAGGGATAAGCCAGAGTTTACAACCTTTGCATGTGGGCACAACACGTTTTGACCCAGATTAATTAGCTATACCATATGATATCGCCCGAGGAACCCAGCCGCTAGCTGCCGCCTCGTTATTCGTTAATATCAAATCCATCATAACAATCCAGAACGCACGGTGCTGTTACGTGTACGTAAATTGACGTGCTTGATGTGAACGAGCGTTTTGGGGGGCGTGGTTAAAGTTGCGCATGCTCTATGAGCGCACATACGGGTACTTCTCAGGCATGCTGGGTAATCTGTGACATTTCACTCTCTCAAAAGTTGGGCCATTTTGTCATCATGCGCCAATGAGCAGCTCTCATAGGAATGAATGAGGCCCCGCCTCTCATGCTGTATCCAGTTCTTATTATACATCCATGGTTTTACGGGGTGTGGTTTGCATTCCGCCCAGCCAATCAGACATAGGAACCTTTTTCTCCCACGAAAGTACCTGGGTTGCGTTCCGATAATCCAAAAATCAGCTCCTAAATTCTAACCCTATCTCCTATTCCTTGACCTCTGAGTGAAACGTCACGGGGTTAAGGGATAGTGGATAGGAGAATTCAAAAGGACTTAGGAGAAGAGACTGCGGTACTTTAGAGAATCCGACTGCACTTTCACTATCCGACGTGTTTATGATGCGCCAGCGGACGTCATATGTGCGTCTGCTGCTGTGTGGAAACTGGAAACTACAGTTTTCTATACAGCGGACTACAACATGGATGTATAATAAGAAGGAGGGACTACTGTAAACTCATCTAGAGACTCTGCACCGTGCTCTGATGCTGTTGTTTTATGCTTTATGAACGGGGACAACAGAGAAACATATTCTTCAGGACCAAAGTTGGAATTGAAATAAAAAAGGAAAGTGAAACTTATGCTCGTCACCCTCTCCCTCCGGTCCACATTAATACAAATGGTCCCAATACGTATGATTGTATGAACTATGAAAAGATCTTAAAATCAATACAAATGTATTTATTATAAACGTTAGTCCTTAACATCTATCACTGTGTATATCACCATTCAAACATCTTTTAAAAGTTGAACAAACTCCACACAGCTCAGTAAAGACTGTGAGATGTTGACTTTATTTGATCATTTCAGTAAAAACTAACGTTCATATTTCTCTTTTTGATTATAATACTGATGAACGTTCAAAACAAAGCACTTTGGCAACTTACCACATACGTTTTAAAATGCTTAATAAGCACCGTAACTTTCATGATATAATTTCTCGGTCATAATCGGTTGTTTCCGTGAACGGCCGACTGTTGAGTGACGGCAAATGCTGCGGCTGCAATGCATTGTGGGGCAGCATTTTCTCCTCTCCTTTCGTCAAGGGAGGTCCAGTCGTTCCTAAGCTAAAGGAGGTTATAAAGGAAGTTTGAAACCTCCTTTCCTTTCATTAAGAGCAGGGGTGCCCACACTTTTTGGGCTGGTGAGCTACTTCTGAAATGACCAGCTCACCGAGGTCTACCAACCAAAAATAAAATCCCAAATTGCAAGGGTTGCTGAATAACACGTTTTATTTATACATGGGATAACTACAATAGGGCTGCAACAAACGACTAATTTGATAATCGATTAATCTATCGATTAATGAAACAATTAATCGACTATTCGGACTATTACTGTATGCCTTGCACAATTTCTCAAACGCTCTTATTTAGCCATCAACTTTTAGATTTAGCTTGAGGTTGTTTTAGGCATGTGGAAACTAACAATGAAGACAATAAAGATGAATACTTGATTCAAAAATACATATATTAAATTAACTTAACAAATTGTTTACAAAATTAACATTGCTTTTTATTTAAATTAAATAAATAATATTTCACATCAAAAGAAACAACAATGTTTTAACAAATCGTATTAAATAATCTGATGACAGAACTGTAAACAGAATAGCTGAAACTTTAACAAAATAAATAACTCAGTTTCCTCTAATCATTAACCCATGTTTGAATCATTGAGTTAACTGCGTGTGTTGCTGCTAGCATACATAACACCTGACGTGGAAAAGTTACTCGTGGATGGGGCTACAGAGCTGCTAGAAAGACAGTCGAACCCGGTGCATTCCTCCGTCTGGATGTGGAGCACTTTTGCTAAATGTTTAGACACATTGCTCGTGTTACCGCCCTTACATGCTGAACTCTCTTGGCAAGGAGCATTGTCCACCTCAAGACGGGTAACATTTAACCACACCTTGGAGCGCTTCTCTCCGCCATCCCCGCCGTGTGTTGCTGCATGGAGCAGCTGCGTGTGTGTAAACTGCCCCGCCCCCTCGCGCACAGACGGGGGGGAGAGAGATTTCGTCTCGATTGGAAAGATAAAAAATACACCGACCATAGACGCATTTGTTTGTCTTTTTGAATGTTAGAAACGAGTTGGCGACACTAAGACTGCAAGATAATGTTTGTGTAGCAATAATACATGACCTTTCTCTTTCTCAACTCGCTACTCGGAGGGAAGTCGCTGTCATATGCCTTGTGAACACTCCAATAATGGCAGAGCGACGCTTGCTTTACAAATAAGGCAAATAACCTTTGAATGTGACATCACAACAAAATATTCTTCCTCCCATTCTGGGTGGAAGTGGTATTCCTTTAGCTTCTTGCTCGGTCCCGCACTCATTTTGTTGTTTGTCTCTTGAACTTAATTTGAGTTTTCCCGGCACTTGACTGATTTTGTATCGCTTTGCATTCTGGGTTAACAGACTGGAAAGCGATAGGTCGCTTTTTCTGTCAATCAAGTAAACTTCTGAATGAAGTGGCAGGGAGGCCAAGGGAGGAGGGATCAAAACCTGTTTTGTCTATTTTAACGGAGCTGGATTTTTTTTTTTTTATAAATGACTCGCGATCTACCAGCATTGCCCCCGCGGTCGACGTACTGGGCACCTCTGATTTAGAGAATTGGAACGGCACTTAACATGGCTGCCACTGACGTACTTCCGGGTCATTTCACTTGGTTAGGAAGGTTCCTAAGCTAAATGGACTATTGGAACGCAACCCTGCTCTCTAGCAAAAGGGGGTAAAAAGGTTCTGATTAACTAATTTTAGTTCCGGCTCTTTTTGGTGTGAATGCGACATTTCGGAACTAAAGTGGGAAAAGTACTGCGGTGTGAACGTGGCTATTGTGTGCTGCTGGTGTAGTACACAGGACAGGGAACGCTGCATTCATAAGAAAAACTGTCCAAAATATTTTGTCTCTTCTTCTTTTTGTCACTAGAAATAAGAATAAAGTCTAGTTTTAATTTTCTATTTAATTTTGCATCACCATGTCTAATGTTGTCTAAGTCAAGGAAAGAAAGGTTGTTTGCAAAGATATTTAGTCCCAGTTTGTGTTAACAGATCGTCCCTGTGTGAGTCTGTCCTGAAGCAGACGGGTGATTTGTGTTGAATACCATTTTGTCTTTCACAGCTCCTTCAAACTTGAGTCCTCTCTGACAGGAGCCTCGTCCATCGATCACCAGCACGGCGTAGCCAAGAGACGCCAGCGTGCTCAGCCGCAGGTACTTCACTCCTTTGTACGAGTTATTCACTAGCTGGACCTGGAACAAAGAATACAATCATGGTAACAGCTAGGTCTTTTGATTCTTTTTTAAAGAAAAGCTTTGACAGTCTGTTTGCTTTGACAAGACCACAGGCACAAATTAATTGCCATTTATTAAAGTAAAAAAGGACCAAAACAAGAATTTCTTAACAAGTAAAATAATTGAATCATAAAAATGTTAAGTAAAAGTATCCAACCTGCGGTCCGCCGTACACAAACACCACAGTGGGATGCTTCCTGCCGGGGACGACCTTGCTCGGTTTGTACAACATGCCGTACAGCTCGAATCCAGACTTCCCTGTGAAGCTAAAGATCTCTGGAGGAGTGTAGTCCATTGGGAAACCTGGAAAAAAAATTATATTTAAATGCTACGGTAACTGCATTTCCCCACGGGGATTAATAAAGCTCCATCATATCTTATCTTAACATAAAGGTCATGTAAATGGTTGTTCAAATGAATATAACAAACAGGTAGATATCAGTACTATGCTGACTTTCTATTGCTGTTTGATAGTTTTCACATGCTTTGAAAAAAAACAAAACCCATTTCATTAAATGACGTAGCTCTACTTTAGTTAATCGAGTTAGAAACGAATTAGCCCTTATGTATTTAATATAAACATTTAAACACAATGTTGAGTGTCTCAGGTTCTTTTAGTTTTGACATAACAGTTGTCAGTACCAGAGGACTCCATCATGCTCGCCCAGAACTGCGGCTCTTTGTGCAGCGGGTCGTCCTCGGAGCCCTGCAGCTTGTAGATGTGAACGCAGGGCGCTGTGGTCAAGCTGCTGTAATGACTGACGAACAGGTCAAAAGTCTGAAAAGAAAACGCAACACAAAACAGGGTTGACCAGTATCCCAAAACATGTATAGATGTGCCGAAATCCATGGAGAAAAATTCAGGAAAACAACACTTACGGCAACGGTTTAAAATGATATATATATATTATTATTAGGTTATACTCATGAGGTTACACACCTGGCTCACTGAGCAGCTGTGGGAGAAGCCAGGTTTGGTGAGGCGGACGATTTCCCCCGGCGAGTCGTAGCTGACGACATAGAGGTGATGCTCCAGAGGAGAGTCTTTGGTTCCCTGGAAGTAAACCTGCCTCGCTGCCTCGTCCACCCAAATCTGAGGACTGGACGAACGCTGCACACACAGAGCAGGAGAAGGTTTGTTGTTTTACTGACGAGTGATTTTGGAAGATAATTAGTTCTGCTCTGGATGCAGTTTAATGTCATCAAACAGATTTTTGGGCAGCACTTTACCTTCGCTCCGTGATTGGCCAGCACCTCCCACTCCCCACTGGTGATTGTCACCTCCTCTTTGACTGGACACTTGAAATCATCTGGTGTGAGAGGAGAGAAGGGGAGTGAGTAGGTTTTGACAGCAAAGGCAATATGAAATAACATAATACAATCAGTTTGTCACTGCCTGGCACAAATCCTTTTTTATTATAATGACTATTTTATAGTTAATTATCTTTGTCTGTTAAGCCTCATCGACACAATGAAATAAGCCTATGAGCTAATTTTATACAGAAATAAAACATGAAATAAGTGACTCAATTGACTACAACCGATTACTCAAGACTGATGAGTATGTCTGAAACACCTTTAAGGGCTCATACATATATAAACAAAATGAAAGGCTGAAAATGATAAAAGTCAGAGATCCCATCAATGCTTATTGTTAAAAAAGTTTCCCCAGACTGGTTGAATTATGTTTACTGTTGGGCTAAATTAAAGTGGACCTATCATCCTATATTTGAAACATATATTGTAGGGCCATACCTATACAAAACACCTCTGTGAAGTTTTTTTTTTCAAAATACCAAACAGATCACCCATTGTAGCCATGCCTCATACTGCTCATACCCCTCTTTTGCAGCCCTGTTAGAGAAACGCCGATTTTGCGTCCTTAGCTTGAAAAAAAGAAAAGAAGAGGAGGCAGAGCTAATGCCTGATCAGAATTCTACTGGAGATAAAGCTAAATTCGGTTGTGATAAAACGCCATCCTGTTTAAACCACGTCAAGGATTATTTCTGAAATAGTATGGAGCTCAAATGCTTTTTCTCTTGCAGGTTTATCACAAGGTGAGTTCTTTTTTATTTCCTGCTTTTTAAACACATACACAGTACAGGTTATCTCTGAGTGTTAGCGAGGCTTGCTAATGTAAACAAAGACGAGATTACATCCAAAACACGTCAGGCATTGTTTCTGATAGCAACTTTCTGTGGGTCCGCCGCCGATTTAACGTCAGTTCGGATGGAATCTGTATCCGCTCGTTGTACACCCGTTTTTAAAAGATTTGGGTACGGAGGAAAAGAGAGAGGGTTTTATTTTCTGACGCTGCGCACCGGGGACACATATTTAAGTATAAAAGACATCACAAAGTGCATTTTTATCATGATAGGTCCCCTTTAAAGTAAAAAACTACAGGGATTCGTTTTTTCACAATAGGTTTCCTGTGATGTATTCCTGCTGGTACCAGCCTGTGCTCAGTGACGATGTTACCTTCAGAGTGTGTGTAGCCGTTGGCCCAGGCGTAGCTGCCCCGCTGCAACATGCTCGTGATCTTATACAGGTGGCAGAACCCTGTTTTTGATTCATTCACGGTTACGAAGGTGATCTCTTCATCACTGGTTTGGACCAATGGATTGAAGATGTCGTGGACCTGAAAGATAAATAGAGAGTCATGATGGGTTTCTCACTAGAAACTCTTATAAAATCATACATTGAAGCTACAGAATTGGTTAACCATTTAGGTTTATTACACTTTTCTTTCTTGTAAGACAATCTAAAAGTTTAGACTTTTGGACTTTACAATGCCCTGGAGTTCTCGGGAATTGTTTAGATCACAAGAGCCAGACACAATCACAGTATGTAGTCGTGATGCGTCAAGTGGTTCTTAAATTAATCAGAGCTTTCGAAACTCCAAACTAGTCGGGACAGACCTTAAAACGTTCTGAAAAAATAACTGACTAAATTCGGGGAGCATCATTACTGAATGGGACATAAAGTAAGAAACGTTCAGGCTTAAGTATGAACAGAACCCTCACATTGATCCAGATGTCGCTGGTCTCCTGGTAGATGATTAAGGGATGGACAGAGTCTCCGAGGGCCTCCAGGCTCTCCTGCCTGCTGGCCTCAGCCTGATGAGCAGGGATGAAGAGCGCCGGAGGCAGCAGGACGAGCTGGAGGCGCTGCTGCCGCCGGTCCATCATCACCGCCCACGCACTGACACACACAGAGGGAGGGGTGATAAGCATGCGCAGTATGCAGAATGATGTCATGTGACTAGGTTCTGGGCTTCTTGAGCTTGGCAAAGTTTAAAGATAATTTAAAGAGGTAGGGCTGTTAAAATCACAGTGTGATTTTTCTAACTTTAATAGACAAAAGACTTACTATCTGCCGTCTTTGGTCCATCCGGCTCTGGTGATATACTCGGCCCAAGGGAACAGGGTGGTGAAGGGAGCAGGCAACTCCTTCTCCTGTGTGCTGATAATCTGAGGGAGACATGAAGCCGGCATTTAAAGATCTCTTTCAAAAGAACCTTCTGGTAATCATTATATTTGATGGCACTGAATAAGCACTCACTTTGCCGAGATTGTCAGTCCTGATTTCTACTATTTTGAGAGTAATGTCGGGATTCTTGCTGCCTAGAGACAAAACGAAACTGGGTTATGTAGCAGCAATTCTAAATTATTTCTTACAATACCAGTGTAGTGTAAATGCTAGGCTTTATCATAGCAAAAGTTATGCGTTTTAAAACAAAAGCTTTTTTTAGTTTGTATCTGTATCTGTGTACCTGCACATGGGTATCTGTAGACATCGGTCTTGCGCTCCTCCAAAGCTGGAGATGGAACATGAATGATCTCGACATTAGACTCGTCCACCTCCTCGTACAGAACCTGCAGAGTTTTACCCCCATCGGATTCTGAACCGGAGAGAAGAAAAAAAAAAATCAGTAAAACCAGTCAAAGATATTTTTACTCACACGGGAGAAGTGTAAGTTAAAAGGTATCAGGATCATTCTGAAAAACGTTGACTCTGGAACAACCTGAACAAAGCCTCACATAAATAAATGTGTTATTCAAGTAAATTATAACCCATCTTTGTTTGACTGATGATTGTTGATAATAAGTTCTCCTTGCTAAGATACAACATGTGTTTTTCTCACTCACCTTCACGAGCAGCTGGGGACCACCAGTATCCGGTGAAACGGTCAAACTCTTCCTGAGTAACAAACGTCGCTATACCGGCAGATTTGGTGTCCTCTTTTGGGTTATCAATACCTACGTCAGTACAGAGACAAATAAAAACACTGTGAAAAACCTCAAAGTACCAGGTAACACTCTCCAGGATCATCTGACCGTCTCTGCCCTGACCTTTGTGGCAGAACGTGAGCCTCCTCTCCTCCCCCGTCTCAATGCTGGTCACCCAGATGTCGTTGTTGTTGATGAAGCCGATGAAGTTGGGGTCCCCGTGGCAGATCTTGGGATCCATGCGTGTTCCTGGACTCTCGCTCTTAATCTCAACAGGACGCATTGGAGTAGTCTGAACAAACACATAAAGTGGTTAGCTCTGAGGTCACAACAAAAGTCAGTAAAGATGTAAAAACAAGTACTAATTTTCTTATCTAGTGTCTGACCAAGAGTGAGATTTTAGAAGACCTACATTTATATTTCAATTTTTTTTTAAATGTCACTGTCCAATAAAAATGTGTCTCCAAATGTTCAGATTCTATATTTTTCTAAATAAATTAGAGGTTCAAGTGTTCATGTTTGTGCTCAAATAATTGTTTGCATTCATAAATTGAACACTGTTTTTTTTTTTTAAAGGTCACATGTCATGCTTTTCCGGTTAGTACCCGTCTCCTTGTGTGTTATGAAGGTTTTTATGCATGTAAACGGTCTGCAGAGTCAAAACCCTCAAAGTACACCCTGTAGCGAGTGAAACTCTAACACAGAAAAGACCTCCCCAAAACGCCTCGTTGGAGATACGTCACTGACCATTTGATTCTTCCGGGTACGAGATTACGTAAGCACATACCCAGAACTAAATGGACCAATCCGTGGAGCCGGTACGTTACATCCGCGGAGCCGTTACGCTAAGCCCCCGCTGATTGGTCCAAATTGACCAATCCACGGACTTCCTCACACACTCAGTGCAGGCAGCTCAGCTGATTTCTCCTCCCTGGCTGCAGGCTGATAACAGACAGTTGGGATCGCGGCAAAATTCTCTCTGCAGACCCATTCTCTCTGCAGACCCATTCTCACAGCGTTTATCAACCTTTTTCTTACTCAATATCAAGCCACACTTATTGTTTTTACTTCGACTGTGACTTTGTGTGTGCTCAGGATGAGTTTGGCTGTGTTTCGCTGTGTATCGCTAAACAAGGAAACTACACCTCCACGGAGCTCAGCGCGATTCACAACGTCCCGACCAATCAGAGCACACTGTGCTCACAGGGAGGGTTGGGGGCTGGAGCTATTGGAGCTACAACGAGCCGTTAAAGACAGAGAGTGAAATTCAGTGAATACACGTAGTTTACAGAGCAGGGCTCTCGACTAACTTTTTTCCCCATCCTCCCGGAACCGTCCCGAAATACAATCTAAGCCGTCCCGAAATTAATGTGTACCGTCCCGAATTTAAAATGTTAGTTTTTCTACATTATCATTAGTTAAAATCATTCAAAGTGACCTTTAACATAAATAAAACATCATACAAATCATTAGATGATAATTCATCAACCTTTTTATTTGAGTAAATCATTCAATCACATAAACAAAGGCCAAATATATTTAAACAAACACACAAACGAGAAAATTACTCTAATATTGAATCCAATCAAGTCTCATCCAATTAACAAAAAACTCCAACACTGTCCTGAAGACAGAACCCAGAGTAACCACTAACCAGGATGACAGTCTGTCAGTCAGGAGACCTTTACAAACGGCCCCGCCCCCTCGCACACAGACGGGAGAGAGATCTCGTCTGGATTGGAAAGCTCGAAAATACATCATAGACGCATGTTGTAGTCTTATTGCATATTAGAAACGGAGTTGGTGAAACTAAAACTGCGATATAATGTGTATGTAGCAATAATACATATGACATATTTTTTAAATGTCTCCAGTACCGATAAAAAGTCTGATAACGTCGGAGCTTAACGTTACCACTGTCTTTAATAATTCCGGCCCGTTTAATACCGGGGATCGGTACCCATCCCTACATGGGGAGAGGCGCAGCATATTGCTAAGGACTAAATACGATGGAGAGTTCTCATCTCAGCCTTATTACCCATAGGGGATGAAGAGGAGTAAGTAAATAAAGAGGCCGGCGCTCCAGGGTCTGGTTCTGCTGTGCGTTTTTGTGATTAACGGTAAAACATTTCAGAATTCCTCCACGGGATGCCATTGTACATCACTCAACCCGCGAAATACACACACTCAGTAGGCTACATAGCTAGACCTGCGAATTTGCAGGGACAGCCAGCTGGGCGGCTAGAGCTACATGTGTGTGTATTTCGCGGGTTTCTAAATGTTTTGTGCGTGTGTGTTTATGTTGACAAGGAGGTTTAATAACTGTGTGATACACAAAACGTGCAGTCGGTTTCATTTTCATCGCCGTTTGTAGTAGAGTTAGCAGGGTATTTTTATTTTAACTCTCGTCCCAAATTCGTCCCAAAATTATTTTTTATCCTCCTATTTTTTTCGGCCCCGGGACGACGGGACGTCCTTAAGCTCGAGCCCTGTTACAGAGATGCTGTTTGAGAAACCAATGTGAGTTTGGAAAATTGCACAATATAAATCTATTCTAGTAGACCTCAACAATGGAATTATGATCAGTGGAAATGGCCATGACATGTCTCCTTTAAATGTTTTGAACATTTGAGTTATATGGGTTTTTCTTTGGTATTCACCATTTTTTTACATTTTATTTTTCTAGCAGTAAAATACCAGTTGGATGCTGTCTTCACTGTGATTAAGACATTAACTGAGATGTAGAAAAAAAAAAAAGCCAGTGCTTTCTGTTGGAGAAACTTAACAAACATCCAAAGTTTCAAAATGACCTCCAATATACCTTTTCGTATTTCTGTAATGCAACTTCTTGTTAAAGGACCGAAAGTGATAATTATTGAGGTAGTGACCTATTAGCAATCTTAGCCATTATTCACTGCGTGACTTGGCATTGACAGTGCTGTGAAACTCACGGTGAAAGTGTTGTCTCCACCGTCGCTGCAGTAGTACAGGCTGCTGTTGGCCTGAAACAGCAGGAGGCCGCTGGGTCGGTGGTATTCATACGAGGTGATGCCAGACACCCCCAAACGTTTCCTCTCTCGCAGCAGCTCCTCCTCCCGAGAGAAGCTCCCGTCGCGAGGGCTGGCCTGAGGTCAGGGTGACAGGAGGACACACAACATGATGGCCGAGCGGGTCAAAGTCAAAGTGAGTTTGTTCAGGGCATGGTAAACAAACCATAAGAAAACACTACCACACTGAATTAAAGAGATAATCGGTCGGTACCAATGATTATAACACTCTATTTTCTCCTTTCAGCGGGAACAACTTCTGTTAGGAAATAAAGTGGTCGAGCTTGTTTTGTCGCCAGGGGAACATTTAAAAGAGTCGTTTTAAAAAGACTAAAACACATGTAATTACGCTAAAACTGAACTTTTTTAAACACCTGTGCATAAACAGTCTCTTAATGGGGAAGTGTTTAATACAGTTAATGGTTAAGCGAACAAGTTAGCCTCCATTTACTTCAATTCATTTTTGATTATTGTATTCAATGTAGAGGCAGGTGAATAAAGATTTCTTCAAGAATTCACGGGGGGTGTGAACGCCATAGAAATTAAGTGAAAGTGTCAGAATTAACTAAATGTCCTTCTCACCTGAAAGTGATTCAGCATTGGTTTCCATGACAAAACCAATAGAGCATCTTTGCGGACCTTCCTGGGAATGTCGGAGTAGAGTAAAGCGTTATCCCTGCTGGCGTAAGGCATTCCTATGAGAGCACAAACACACGTAAAGTCAACAACAGAGTTACATGGGTACAGGTCTTCCAGACTGTATGTGTGGGGCAAATAATAACATTTGACAGAGCTCTGGAAATTATATTACACACTACAACTGACACACATTAGGAAAAGCAGGAAAGAGCAGCGACACTTTTATACTGATTCTGTGCAGAAAGATGGCCTCAGAGGTAATCTGTGTTCCTAGTTGAGTTAGAGGTATGCTCAAGCACACACAGCCTTGATCCACTGCAGCTTGTGGATATCAAATGAGTCTGAAAACAGTTGCAGGCTACTACTGTGACTCACCAGCTGTATCCACATATTATTCACAGAAGCATGCTAGCTTTCCAAAAGACAGAAAGTAAGCAGCTGAATCTGAAGGCCAAGGAGTCTGTGCCTGCCAACAGCACTTTATCTCAGCTGTATTTTCACAATACGAGTAGAACATTACATTAGCGTGTACTCATTTCAGAGCCTGCATGAAAATACTACATTTCTGTCCCGAGCTCACCAAGGTAGTAAATGCGGTGGGATTGCGGACTGGTCTCATCCTTCTGGACGAACTGGAAGTCGTGTGGCGCTTTGTTGATAACCACGCGTGTGTTCTTGTGGCTGTTGTGGATGATCTTCCTCAGGCCATCCCAGGTATGCTTCTCCACCTGGAACCTATTGGGATTCACGTCGTCCATTTCCACCACCTCTGTGCTGTCAGAGAGCTCTTCAGGCCCCGTCATGCCTGCCAGTGCCAGTCTGACGATGAAGACAGAAACTCTGATCAGACACAGCTACAGCAAATCCCAGAGGGAAAGTACCACAAGCAAACTGCAAAACATGGTTGAATCTTTGATTGATTTTGGCTTATTTGACCTACCAAGTCGGACGTTCTAACAGAAAATAGACTATGTATGGGTCTTCTAAACGTATAATCTTGTTAAAGTGATGAGTCATCTCAAAGAGACTTTTAAATGTTATTTTTTTTATGGATGGAGGTACCAATCTGTCAGGTGATCGGTCCACCCCTTTGGTCCAAAAGGAAATTCAACAGCAACAACTATTGGAGCGATTGCCAGGAATGTAGGTTCACACATTCCCGTCCCACTGAGGTCGTTTCCTAAAGATGATCAGTTCACTTTTCAGTACCACCAGCAGGTCAGAATACAGTGGTTCATGATCCATTATGTTAGCAACAAAGGACATTCCCATCAGCCTTAGCTCTATATAGTGCTTATTGGTAAAGTCAAGCTACACTAGGATGGTAAAGATAATGGAATAGAAAACAGAATACCCATAATAAAATCCTATCAAATAAGATCAAAATAAACAAATAGAGGATATTAAAAAAATATAAGAACTTCATTCTAACAGCTTATTAAAAGCCTTTTTTTATTTTATAAATATTTTCAGAAGTGATTTAAAGTGATACTGATTGTGCAAACCTAACATCTTAGTCAGCATACAACAGGATACATTTTTCCAGGACTAGTAAAATGTCTTGTGACAGATTTGAACCTCCAGGTTATTTTCAAACACAATAAAAAATACCTTTCTTAGACCAAAAATGTCATTGATCAAAAATAATAATGAAAATAAATAAAATGTTACCAACAGCTGTGAAGGTTAAAATGACACATACCTTTCAGGGCTGTCTTCTCTTTTGTCTTCAATTTTCCGCCTCTTTACTCTGTGCATTAACTGTTCGACGACCCTTGACCAGACCTGACACCCTGAGGGAAACCAGGGAAACACACGGGAGTGGAGATGTTGAACATTTAGACAAGTTTCAGACTGGCAGCACCTGGTCTAACTGACAATCAAATTATTTACACAAAACTCAACATGTGAAAACCTAGTCCTAGCCGTAAGCTAAGGTCACATGCTAACAAAGTGAAACTGTTACTGAAGTGAAGACCCTGCTCAGGGCAGATGTCTATCTGCTGCTTCATGGAGGAGCTGCTGCTCTACAGCCGGCCACCTTCACCACATTTCCAGCTGTATGTTCCTGAAATGGAGTCTCACTGAGTGTGACTCAGCTGCATGATGCTGACACTTCAGCGTCTGAGTTATAACTGTGGCAAATGTTGCACTGTCGCTCCACATTTTACTGTAGGCTGTTCTGTTCCCTGGGGCCAAAATAAAATGCAAATTCTACAGAAGTTGTTGCCCAGAAACACGACAGCAGCTCCCTTCTAGCAATTCATGTTTGTGTTGGAAGAACCAATGCCATACTTGTACATTTAAGAAGAGTTGATTAAAGTGGATTTTAATGCAGAATCTATCCTTATATCTGACTCCTTTATCACGTGACTGAAAGTCCAGGGCACAACTGATCAAACTCCTCCTAGGCCGTGAGATAGGGTTAAGGTTAAAACCCTTTTAAGTGTGGTTTAGATTTTATTTTATTTTTTTAAAGTATAATTATTGAATGTTTCAAGACAATCTCAAATATTGTATTAAAAGCAAATGTATGTTTAGTTCTTAATGTGAAGATGGGTTTGCTCTGAGCAGCATTGGCGAGTATATTTACTTAACTCGTGTATAATTGTATTTTACTTTATTCTTCTAGTCCACTACACTACACTGCAGGGAATAGTGTACTTGTCACTTCATTACATTGACTTGACAGCTTGGGTTGCTAGTTACGTTGCCTATTTAAATGTCCAAAATGCTAAAAATAATATTTTTAAAAGCTTCAGTGATAAAACAGCCATCATTGATTATTACTCAGTAATACAATGCGAATTATTCAGTAATGGGCCATTCTGCACAAGTAATTATTTCCCTATTGGTACTCTGAGGATATGTTGATGCTTGCATGTGTCCTTTATTATAAGGTCTGAGAATTTATTTCATAAGTGTTTAAATCGAAAGTAAAAACAATCTTCCGTGAACTGGATAGATGGTGAATACCTGGTGAATACATCCAGTTTATTCTCCCACGGTGCCCCCAACAACTGGACTCTTTCCGCCTGACTGTTTTATCCGTTACCTGTTCATGTGACTTCAATGACTTCTGCTTTTTAGCCCTACTTTTCGATATACAATTTACTCGTGAAATATTCATGTAAATATCCCCTTGTGGTATTTTCTAGTACATATATCTGGCATTATCCTCTCAGTTATTACATGCTGTATGTTTTCTAGCATCCATTTACAACGACAATGACATAACATTTGTTTAACGAATAACTATTAGTTTCGTTTTGACACTTCAGCTGATGAAGTCTGCAAAGTCACCGACAGCTTCACACCACACAGAAAACATCTGGTCGAGACACGTGTATACTCCCCATAAAACATGATAAAGACTCATAATTATCTATGTTATAATAATTAAAACACACTGTGTATATTCTACGTAGCCTGGAGCTAGCCAGTTAGCCGCCCATTAACGTTATCCAAACACTCGTTAGCTAATACACCGAAACAGAAACAAAAGCAAGCAATAAACACTCATTCATTTTGAGCTTACACTTTCTGTCTTGTGTTGAGGATTCGCCGTTTAGGAAACAATGAACGAGGTCTGAGTTATGTGCAAATAATCCAACAGAGCAGGTTGCTAAATGCTAATATGCTAAGAGAACGCGGAAACGTTATATCTTGTGACCCGGATGTGATCCCTCAAATTCGTTTTCTTCTGAAAAAATATCAAACCATTTCAAAAAGCGTAATTAAAAAAACAACAACGTTAAAGTTAAGCCTGTACATTTTACAAGCTTAACTTTAACGTTGTTTAAAAAAAAAAATAAAAAATCATTTTACAGTGTAAAATGATTATTTTCATTATATGTTAATTCGACATTTATTATATTCTCAGTTTTTGAGAGCCAGATGGGAAATGTACTTATGTTTCGATTAATATCAAACAGATAAAAGCAGCACATTTTTTACATTTGAAATGCAGTAACCACTTGTTGTGCCATTTTTGCTTGAAAAAAAACGGCTGATTCAATCTACTAAATCAGAAATGATCAACCAATTGTTTCAGCTCTATTTTCTAGATTTTACCCTTAAAACACCAGAAGCAAATACAAACACAACCAAATATAAACAACCGGGACAAAGACTGTATCCTTAAAACATTTATTTTTGTAATAATTTGTCCTTTTTTTCTTTTTGCATAAGTGCAAAAAATGCACCCAAAAGAGCCACCTGAGGGAAGTCTACATCTTTAAATAAAAAAACAAGCAAAGTGTACATTAATAGTACAAAATTCTCTTTTTAAAAAATTGCACAGTTTGTGTATAATATATATATATATTCATAATCTCCATTTTAAACAAACTTTAAAGGCTCAGAAAGTAAACAAAACCACCAAATGAAAAATAAAAACATTTTTCCCTAGAATTTAAAGCTGAGGAAACTTGAGACCCTGTTTTCATTTGTGTCCACCGTAAATATACATATTTATATGCAAGTCTCTTTACATAATGTCTCTGTGCTAGTGTTTGACCAGACAATCAAAATTATTGCAAAGTAGTTTAGTCCTACTATAAAACATGGGATGGGGTGGGTGGGGGATAAAAGCTTCATTCTGCTGAATGTTCATAAAGTTATGCAAAAAAGAAAACCTGGGTTTCTTTAGACCCTTTTGACTTAACTGGAATCCCTGCTTTCACAAACGTTTCTGTTTCACAAACTCTGTGCAGTCAACATTCCCACAGAACAATCCAGAACTCCAGTTTTGCTTTTTAGCAAGAACACATTTCCCTGACTTCTATTTTTTTTTCTCTCTGCACTTTACACAGCTGCCCTGCCCAGAGGTGGTGGTCAGCGTCGATATGGGTGGAAGCCCTGTACGTTGTGGTTCTGCCCTCTGCCAAATGCAGTGGCAGTGGCCTGGGGGCCGACGGGCTGTGCTGTCCCGTAGGAAGCCGTGGGCTGGCTGGGGTCTGCAAAGGTGTGGCTGAAGGCGGTCAGGTCCTGCCCGTACCCTGAGGACGACAGACGGGCGAGAGCAGAGGGAAAGAAGGACTTTAATGTCAGGGACACCGGACAGTGTTTGGGGAGAAGCCTTACTTCTTTACAAGTATTGCAAAGTAAAACAACTTTTAATGGAAAAGGCTAAATCCACCTGTCAACCTTCTCACTACACAATACATTTTTTAGATAAATATTTTTGTTTGACAACAAAAGGAAATGTTTTAGAAACTCTACTGAAGCTGACATCAAAACGATTCTCCCAATTTTACTTTGTTTAGTAATTCAATCTTGACTATATCTATATTGTTTTAGCTATAGAGAGATCTAAAATATGTACTTTTTATTTTTTGGGCTTTGAAATGTGTTTGTGCTACAAGAACTGTGACACACCAAACAAATAAATAGATAAACAAATTAAATATGCATCGCTAATAGCATGTTGTGTACAAAATGTAAAGGTTTCATGGTGGATTTTCCCTCTAAATGCAAATACTGTATTCCTTCAATGAGCTCTTTAGTGTTGAACAATATTGTTAAAATGTATATAGACAAACTTGATAATTTCAGTTAATTTAAGAAGGCTTCATTGAGGAAAACAATCTCTAGATTCTCTTGATGATCAATGTTCTTCTATTCAGACACTGGATGGCACCATCTCCCTGAAAACAGACAGGGAAACCAAAGTGACACAAAGGGAAGGAAACTGATCTGACTGGAAAAAAGGCTGGGGCAACCCAAACTCCCCAGCCACTGTCCAAGCCAAAGGGACATTAAAGGGATGGGCGAAAAACTGAGTGGTTTGCAACCAAATGGGTGGTAGAAACATCAGTTTGTAGTTTGCAGTGATTTTGAAATTGTCCCTAATAATACTGGAGTTGGGACATTATAAATAATTGGAATGACAATACAAGAGACAGATAGAAAGACAGAAAGGAAAAAAATGGCAGGTACAGTTAGAAAATACATCACATTTCTTTAGTGCTCCATGAGCGGAAAATACACAGGTACTTGATGAACAGAGTGTGGTCCCAACAGGACCAATGGAAGAGAGGAATTGGAAAATGTATTGCTATTGTGTGTCCTTCTTTGAATCTTCTCTCCTTTCTCATCCCCTTAGCTATAATATGGAGACATTACATGGGGGAACACAACGGGTGAATGGACTGCTGATGCATAAAGACAACTGAACCATGAACACATTTTCTGACAATTAGATCATCCTTGTATAATCTGCAAAGCAATGCGGACAGAGAGAGTGGACAAACGATGAAGACATGGTTAGTCTTGGTATAGTAAAGCTTCAGCCACTGAGGGAAAGGACTGCTTTGGGCTCCGAATGATGCAAATCCATTTGAATGTCTTTTAAATCCACTCAGCTGAAACTTGATGGCTGCTTTTTACTATTCAAGAGTATACAATGTAATTTGTATGTACATGCAAAATGTACATGCAAAATACGAAAAACACAGAGCAAAAGAAAAGAGGAAAAGAACCATGTCTATAAACACTATAGTACTGAACAAATGCTACTGTTGTGGTTGGAGAAGACAATGCTGTCACCTACCTGCACTATATCCTCCCTGCTCATCCTGACCATTACTGTGAGAAGGACGCGTTGGTCCGTAGGCAGAGGGGTCCTGAAGGTAGTTACCCAAGCCTATCAGGGAGATGAGGAGACCAGGTTGACTGAACCCAGATACTGCTGGCCGACTACTTTACAAAGTTCCCCCCTTACTGAGATTAAAGAGCTGCACAGTTATACTCATTCACTGCAACTGCACTACGCCTGGAGAGGCACCAATGCTCAGCCTTATCTGGAAGTCAAACAAAATGGAGTGTGAGTTTGTGCTAGTGCTCCTCACAAATCGTGCCCGCCTGGCCTCATGAAATTAAGTGAAATGTGCATGATATGTTAAATTGCAACGTGAAAAATGTGTTTTTCCTAACAATAAAATATTGGAAAAGGGAAGCAACTAGGGAGAGTAACGAGAAAAAAACATACCAGTGTTTGGCTTGTTTTAGTTATAAAATACGACTTGCATAGACGTCCTATTGCTGCCAGCCATTGACCAAAGAATGCCATAACCTAGAGAGATTTCCTATCTTCCAAGCAGTCATTGATTCAGAATGCTATGACAATCAACTTGAAATTGACTTAATGTATCGATGTGGTATTATTTGCCATTGTTCTGTGTACTCCCATCGTAAGCACTGGCCATTCTCTAAACTCTACTTTCTTTTAATATCCTAAAGTAACCAAAAAGAACTTGTCTGGTTAGCTATAGTCTTGGAAATATATCGATTTCCTGTAACTATAGGGACAAATGTAAGTGAAGAAGTTGCTTTTGAGCTGTCAAAGTTGTGTTCTTGAATTACGTACAAAAAATAGTTTATTGTAATATATCACTGAATTAGGTTTTCGAATGTGAGTGTACTGTAATTTAAGTAAAGCCAGCGCTTGCCTGGAAGGTGGGAGTCATCAATAATATATGGTATGCATCATTAAAATGGCATCAATTGAATTATCAATGAATCAAACATGCAAAACCACTGGTTTGAAGTCAACTCTCCCCAAACTCCCTTACTTCACGTTGGCCAAACCTAACCTGAAACCAAACTTGCTAGATTTCTTCCCAATTTACTCATCTTAAAAAGGTAAAAATGTCATATCCAGTCCTTGCTATAGAGGAGTGTGATATCCGAAAAAATCGTTAGCGGTTAAATATTTTTAAAAAGTGTGTTGCTTCTGCGGCTTTAAATGCTGTCTGGACAGGTCAGGCAGTGAACACTAAATGCAAAAAGCTGGATGGAAGATAAGCACAAGCAGGAAACACTGAACAAGATGGGCACCTGTCATGACTATCCTGATCACATGACTGCTTTAAATACAGATCCAGCAGTGTGAAGCAGCTGTAAGCCAAGAAAAATACCAGCCAGCCAAAAAAACTGAATGTAGCCTCAGAATGAACATCTGACTCTTATCCGATGTGTGTTTATGAGACTGAATGTGTGAATGTTGACTGAAGCATTTTCATATTCCATGGATGCTGGCTAGTTTTTTACAGTATCTCTGTCTTCATGTGTATACTAGACCATGTCACTGGAGAACTACCTCACAATTATTTGAATCACAGAAATGAATAAAGCAAGAGAATCAGTTTCTAGAAGTGGCTTGATGAAATCTGTTATTTTCAAGTCCTTTCACGCTGACTGAAATTAAGCCAAGAATTTACTGGCCCAGAAGAGATCCAGGAGGAATAATTATCATGGCAGAACACAGTCCAGCTAAAAGACCACAAAGACACTCACAGGAAGTAAAACCTACAGACACAATAGTCAAAAAATGACTTGCCAAGGAATGTATTGTATGACTTGTAATTTGTGCATGTATTTAAAAGGCAGAGGGTCTAACATGCAAAGCTCTGGTTTGATAAAATGATGGACATGTCGTCCGTTTTTGATAGGTAGCTTGGCAGGCTGGACATGCCTAATTCCAGAAATAAGGTTTCACAGGCGTAAAACTGTCATGCTGGGGCTCTTCTACGGCTGTCGTGCCAACATCCGGAAAATAAGCCAGCAAAGTCATCAACAGGGAAGAAGAGAGAAGGTGTAGGTGGGATAATTACAAGGTAGGGATAATTGAACCACGTCAACTGTCTATTGCAGTCTGCCAGGAGAAGCTTTCAC